CGTGTTATCTTCCTTACTTTTGCAGCCAATAAGAATTCCTCCATTTTTTACATTTTTGATTCGAGATAAATGAATATTCTCTTTAGATGGGTCAACCTGATATAGTATTTCTGATTTTGTTTGATTAACTGACTGGTTTGCTTTGGGTTGAATTATTAACGCAGGTTGGGTCTTGTTTTTTTGCTGAAGAGTCCTAATAAGGATGACTTTCTCCTTAATGCGCAAAATCAAAGGCAGAGTGTTGAAAATATTTTGAGTGTTGAAAATATTCTCCGCTATTTTCTTTCGACGTTATTCAATAATCATTGGTTACTTATGAACCTCTACTAAAGATACCCATAAAATATTTTGCTGAATATCCAAATATCTTCTATATCCTGGGATATAGACGGACATTTGGATATCCATATTAGATCCACTGGATATATTGGATATCCACAAAATATATTCTGTGGATATCTCTGGGATTTCTTGTATTGTCTGGAAGGTACCCATTAGATATTTTGCTGGATATCCATAGGATATTTTCTAATATTCTGGATATAGACGGACATTTGGATATCCATATTAGATCCACGGGATATTTCAGATATCCTGTGGATATATTGGATATCCAAAAAAGATATTCTGTGGATATCTCTGGGATTTGGTGTGTTGTCTAAACCTCTTAAAAAGTGGCGAAAAGAAATTTTACTTTTACGTGAAAAGAATACTGAATACAAACAGCACTAAGAAACCCAACAACACATTTAGCAATCACAGAACCAGCCGAGATAGCAGAAAGATTAGCAGAACAGTGCAATACAACAGAACCTGATACAGAATCACCGCAAATATCTGTTAACATAAAGAGTTGAGAATAGCATAGTAAATATAGAATTTACCCCAGAAAATTTGCAATAGTCTTAAACAAGATTTAAGTCCTTTAATAGATGAAATCCTACCCATTTATCTTAAAAAATATTCTAATAGCCAACCTTCTTAATCTCCTCGCGACAATAATTATGAACGACTCTATGCAAAAACAGGAACTGCCAATGGACTGGACAGGCGATAAAAAGAATTCCATCAAAGAGTAGACCGCAGGGGTATTTTTGGTGTACAAATTTGTGGTAATGTAGGTATTTTTTCAAGGTATTAATAGGTAATATCTAGATACTAGAGGTATTGGTTAGTGTATTACGGGAATTAGTTGAGGTATTGAAGGTATCGCTTCAGTTCCTAAACATAAGAAATATGTAGTAAATATTTTTTGACAAATTTTGATGAATTTTAATGGTTTTTGAGGTTTTTCTTATGTCTTTTGAGGTTTTTTGATGTTTTTTGATGTTTTTTTGATGTTTTTTTGATGTTTTTTGATGACTTTTGATGTATTGTGATTTTTATTAATAATTGATTCTTGATGATTCTCAATAATTCTTGACGATTCATGACGATTCTTGACGATGCTTAAATATTCTTGACGATTCTTGACGATTCTTGATGATTCTTGATGATTCTTGATGATTCTTGATGATTCTTGATGATTCTTGATGATTCTTGATGATTCTTGATGATTCTTGATGATTCTTGATGATTCTTGATGATTCTTGATGATTCTTGATGATTCTTGATGATTCTTGATGATTCTTGATGATTCTTGATGATTCTTGATGATTCTTGATGATTCTTGATGATTCTTGATGATTCTTGATGATTCTTGATGATTATTGATGATTCTTGATGATGCTTAATGATCCTTGATGATCCTTGATGATTCTTGATGATTCTTGATGATTATTGATGATTATTGATGATTCTTGACGATTCTTGATGATTCTTGATGATTCTTGATGATTCTGGATGATTCTTGACGATTCTTGACGATTCTTGACGATTCTTGATGATTCTTGATGATTCTTGATGATTCTTAATGATTCTTGATGATTGTTGATTATTCTTGATGATTCTTGATGATTCTTAATGATTCTTGATGATTCTTGATGATTCTTGATGATTCTTGATGATTCTTGATTATTCTTGATGATTCTTGATGATTCTTGATGATTCTTGATGATTCTTGATGATTCTTGATAATTCTTGATGATTCTTGACGATTCTTGATGATTCTTGATGATTCTTGATGATTCTTGATGATTCTTGATGATTCTTGATGATTCTTGATGATTCTTGATGATTCTTGATGATTCTTGATGATTCTTGATGATTCTTGATGATTCTTGATGATTCTTGATGATTCTTGATGATTCTTGATGATTCTTGATGATTCTTGATGATTCTTGATGATTCTTGATGATTCTTGATGATTCTTGATGATTCTTAATGACGCTTGACGATGTTTGACGATTCTTGACGATTCTTGACGATGCTTGATGATTCTTGATGACTCTTGATGATTATGGATGATTCTTGATGATTCTTGATGATTTTTGATGATTCTTGATGATTCTTGATGATTCTTGATGATTCTTGATGATTCTGGATGATTCTTGATAATTCTTGATGATTCTTGATGATTCTTGATGATTCTTGATGATTCTTGATAATTCTTGATTATTCTTGATTATTCTTGATTATTCTTGATGATTCTTGATAATTCTTGATGATTTTTGATGATTTTTGATGATTTTTGATGATTTTTTAATATTTTTAAATATTTTTGAATATTTTTGTATATTTTTGTATATTTTTGTATATTTTTGTATATTTTTGTATATTTTTGTATATTTTTGTATATTTTTGTATATTTTTGTATATTTTTGTATATTTTTGTATATTTTTGTATATTTTTGTATATTTTTGTATATTTTTTCAATATTTTTCAATATTTTTGAATATTTTTGAATATTTTTGTATATTTTTGAATATTTTTGAATATTTTTGAATATTTTTGAATATTTTTGAAAATTTTTGAAAATTTTTGAAAATTTTTGAAAATTTTTGAAAATTTTTGAATATTTTTGAAAATTTTTGAATATTTTTAATATTTTGTTTGGCCATCATAAATCGACACCGATATTGTGAAAAAAGACCATATATTTTACGGATCTTTGGAGCTTATTGGGGAGGGCCCATTTAATTCAAAAAGACACGATTTAATTAACATTGAAGAGAAATATAAATTAACAAGTTCATGATAATTTTTTATAAGTGCTTGGCAAATTGACATTTTGATTCAAAGCGATACGTTTTTGTAGAATATTTTCTTCATTAGCTGGTTATATACATTTTAAATGTCTTTTGTAAGATTTTTTTACGAAAATGTTTTGGTTTAACTTAAAACTATGACATGTATTTTTGATAAAATAGAAGTTTAATGCAGAAATGTTTTTGCTTATTCACTTAGGATTCATGAGATTCAATTTGCAGATGTCAACGACTAAATCTTATGGTCATACAAAGGGTAATTAAAAATTCATGGATAAGAGATTAAAAACAAATCATTGTAATTTGATTGAACTAGTTTGGATATGTATGTAAACTAAAATGATTGGATTAAATACCTACTTTGTTTTGTGGATATTACTGGGTATTATAGGTATTTGTGGGTATTGCCCTGGGTATTGGGGGTATTAGTGTGTATTTATAGTGGTAATAGGTGTATTGTTTCAAAAAAATAGTGTGCAGTTTACCCTTCGAATCCCATAAACTACCCTCCAGTCAGTCTTGTAAGCTGTATCGGTAAAAACAATGGAAAAGATTATTACAAAAAAAGTAACAGAGTTTATGATGGAACACAAAGTGTTCCCAAGTAATCAGTATGGATTTCCACCCAAAAGATCTGTTGTTACAAATCTTCTAAGTGCAGTTAACTAGTGGACAGCTTAGAATGAACTGTAACACTTTGGAATAAGAGGCAATCTATTATTGTGGATTAAGAGTTTTTTATTCAATCGGCAGTTCTGAGTAAGAATAAATGGACAGCTGTCAAACAACCATCCAGTAGAAACTGAAATACTACAAGGTTCGGTTTTGGGTCCCCTATCATTTATTTCATACACAAGCAATTTATGCAAAATCATCGAGTTTGAAACCAACTCTTATGCAGAAACAAAACTTGAATAAAATATGAATCTGATCTCAGCAATGGCTCATAGTCCTCAACATAAATAAGTGTACAGTACTGGACATTGGCCCAAATAATCCCGACATAGTACATCATAGATACAAATGCAATAACTCACAAAAGGATCTTAGTGTAATCATATCTAGAGACTTAAAATGGGGAAACCCACATTGCTAATTTAGTAAAGAAACTCAAGAGTCTCATTTACTTCATTAGAAGAGCTTTTAAAGAGCATTCCGAAGATATGATCCTCAAATTGTACACAAGTTACATAAGACCAAAGATAGAATTTACACAGACCGTTTGGGATCCATACTTTGTTAATGACATTGAACTGCTGGAAACAGTACAACAGAGAGTCACCTAAATACCACCAACCCTACAAAACAATGAGTATTGGGATCGGCTAACCACACCACAAATTTCAAGTTTTAAGGAAGGGTAGAGGAGATTTGATAGAAACTTACAAGTGAACCAGTTGATATTACACCTGTGATAACATCTTCCAATCTTCCAGGCCAGCACATCAGGAACCTTGAGAGGTTACTCAAAGATATTAGATAAATAAAATAATGGTAATACAATGCAAAGAAAATATTTCATTACAAACAGAACTGTATATCTATTGAATGGTCTCCAGGAACATACGCCCCCCCCCCCCCCGGAACATAAATCAGTTCAAGGCGAGAGTGGATAAAGATTTCGAAGAAGGAAGAAATAATTGTATTCATTATAGTTTATAGTAAATTAAGTTTTAACTGTCATGTAGTAATTTAGAATAATTTTTGTCACTAACTAAAAGAGCAGCTTCAATAGAACTGTCACTTGCATGTTCTTAACAATAATAATAATTGGCTAAAAAATACAACTGTGAAATTTTCGACTTCGCGTTTTCCACATTACACTAATATTCTGTTTAATATGTAAAATTTACCTGAAAAATTCATGATTTTTATACGCAGACGTAGCGTGCCTCCTGTATTCTCCAAGATTAAACACTTTTGTATTTATTCCTATCCAGTTCAGGTATCGGGACAGTTTTTTAGAAATGTAAGTTTTGCCGCGCGCTGGTAGACCCACCATGGCGATGACGTGAGGACTGTTGACATAATTCGCACGTTCTCCTAAAAAAAAAAGTTTAGTATGAAAAAACCAAGTTAACATTATATCGGATGCTTCGAAATGATTGTAATTAGCATAATTTATTATTTGTTAACATTGAAGAAACATGTAGCGCATTAGAATCAATAATAATATTAATAATGAATCAGATATGACAAGTCCTTTTTTAGAAGAAAATCAAATGGGACAAATAATCATAGACTAGATACTTTTTTGTTGTATATGAACTGCCAAAGTTTAACTGCGCATTTTGAAGAAATTAAAATTTTTTTTATCAATAAAAATCCATCGATAGCAACGCATTTATATATAATAATGAATAGAGATGATAGCAACAGTCGACATACTGGGGGAGTTATCGTCTATGTGAATGAAATATTACAAATTCTAGATATTAGGAAAGTAATTTTAGATAGGAATCATTGGTTAATTTCAGTAAAACTCTTACATAATAACAAAAAGTTTATGATAGTATGCCTTTATAGATCTCCTAGTAACGGAGTGAATTTGTTTCTAGACTTTTTTGAAGAATGGTATGTGCTGAATTTAACTGATGCTAACTTAGAAGTTATTTTGGTTGGGGATTTCAATATGGATTGGTATAATAATTCAACTTATTCAAAAAGATTCAAAATTATTGTTACTGATACAGGTTTTAAGAATGTGGTAATAGTATTTTACGTTACAAGTCCGGTAGGTGACTTATTACAGTACGAATTGTTTTACGGACGAGGCGACGCAGGAGCCGAGTCCGGAATATAAACGAGTACTGTAATAACACCTAACGGACGTGTATCGTATGATATTTTATTTCATCCTGTCATTATAATACTCTATAAAAAAAATAAATATGTTGATTAAAACTAAAAAAGAAAATAATTGGCAATTTAACATCATTACTTTGCAATTACAATTGAGCAATTGTTTCCATAGTTACCTATGATTGCCATTTGCTTGTCACTATAATAAATAGACAAGATCGCAATATATGTGTTTCAAATTATGGAGGTTATGGATGATATTTTAAATAAGGCTGCAGAAGCAACAAATAAATTAATCCCATCAAAATCTTCACCAAGATATAACAAAGAATATAAATTGTTTTGTGAATGGAAACAATTTCATAAAGTGACTACCATACAGGAAGATGTTTTTTTGGCTTATTTTCTAGATGAAGTAAGTATGATCTGCATGATTTTTTTAAAATAATTTTTATTGGATCAATATGTATTAATTTTATTTTATAGTCAAAGAGAATAAATAGCAATTCCTTGTGGGCAAAATATTCTATGCTAAAGGCAATGTTACTAGTTAAAAAGAACGTGAACATCAGCAAGTACCCGAAAATCATCGCTTTCTTAAAAAAATGTAGTGTTGGACATCAACCGATGCAGTCAAAGGTATTGACGAGAGATTAAGTAAATTTATTTCTCAATAAAGCATCTGATGAAGTCTATTTGTTGGTCAAAGTTATTGCTATGATTGGAATTGCTGGAGGTTGTCGACGGGAAGAATTGTATTCTATGACTCTCAATGACATTCAAGACACAGAAATTCAATTGGTAATCACGATTTCGCAAACTAAAACTAATGTAAAACGTGTTTTTACTGTAATAAATTTTCTGGAAATATACCGGAAATATCTTTCCCTAAGACCTAAAAATTTTGAAGAAAACTTTTTATTTCTTGGGTATCGAAATGGTAAATGCATCCAACAAAGAGTAGGAATTCATACTATAGGTGCAATGCCCAGAAAAATAGCAGAATATTTGAAACTTCCAAATCCTGAAAAGTTTACAGGTCACTGTTTCAGACGGACCTCTGCAACTCTTCTTGCAAATGCAGGTGTAGATTCATCTATCTTAAAACGGCATGGAGGTTGGAAAAGTTCTGCTATAGCAGAAAAATATGTTGAAGATGCACTTGAAGGAAAAACGAAAATTGCAAGAATGATTCAAGGTGGTGAGAATTTTGTACAAGTATTGCAACAAAATAAGAATACAGAAATAAATACTATTGTTTCTGATGAGAATGTTCCATCCACATCAGGAATCAATATTGTTAATAATACAAATTGTACTATCAGGGGCGGTTTCTCCATTGGTTCATTTGTGCAGTGAACACCCAGTTCAATTTCATAAAGACACATTATTTTAAAACTACATAAATAACATAAAAATATAAATTTAATTTTAATATTTTTATTTTCATACGTGTTAATCTATATTTTTTGGTACATCATTGCTTTCTGGCTGATCGCGTCTCTGTGGCACAATATATCTAAGTAAACCTTGTCTGTGGCGCATTATGATGAGTGAGCCTAACACGAGTGAGACGATTTGACGAATACATATAGCTAAAAAGAGATGAAAACACGCCAACAGATCCTTCAAACTGTCAAAGAACAAATTAATTGGCGCGCCGCTCACAAACAAGTTTGCCAAACCAGTGTTGCCAGTCTAGTACAATTCACAATTGTACTAGATGTAGTACATTCTGCATGCATCAGTGTTCACGTGTAAAATATATGTATATATATTGTGTTCCTTGTTTGGGTTCGTTATCAATAAAGATCCCCTTTTTTCCTCTTCAATGAATTTAGATGTCACTGCAAATAGAATTCGAAAAATCTGGTACATTTAAGGAATCTGGTACATTTTTTAGACAAATATGGTACATAACAAAAACATTCTGGCAACCAGGGTTGCCAATTTAGCGATTTTGTAGCTAGATCTAGCGATTTCAGTAGGTCTGTTGCGACTTCGAATTTGAATTTGAGACGTGTCTCAAACCTAGCGTTTTCTCGCCATTATCTAGCTATTATCTGGCGACTTTTGTATATCAGGAATGATGATGATAATAATAATGGATGTAGTAAGTAGGGCATATTCTAGCAATGAAAAAAGAGGTGGTTGTACAATCGAACATAAAAGTAAATGTCTAATAATTTTGAATTTTGACATTATTATATTTTAATTTGAAAATCGTTAGGTTAGCAACTAAACTGATGTCATTAAGGACCGATTCCACCGTTGTGTTAAACGAGTTTAAAATGACATTTTTACATTAGCAATGTCATTTTAATCTCCGTTTAACACAACGGTGGAATCAGCCCTAAAACGATTAATTTTCATTTAATTTCACATTCAATCTGTGATAAATACCTATGTTAAAAAGTAAGAATAAGTATTAACCAACTTTATTTAACAAGTAGAAATTATTTTGTTTTTAGAAGATTTGTAATTTTGTTTTGTTAGATGTTTAGTAAAAAATATGCATAATAATAAATATACATGTTATATTTCTTAAACAAGTTCCTATATATTTTGCATCTAACTTTATGATTTAAAAAAAAATATAGTAAAATTTTCTTTTTGTTATCAAAGTGATTTTTTAGTAGTCACGAGCAAAAGTCGCCAGATTTTCAAAAAAGTCGCCAGATTTTTAAAAAATTTCGCCTGCGGCGGGCCGTTTTCTTGCTATGCTTGTATTTTTTCTATCTGGCGATTTCTGGCAATTTTCAACTTGTAAAGTTGAGACTTTCATGTGTCACCTATTGGCAACACTGCTGGCAACTATAGGCGAGTTCGGTCAGTCAGGGGCTGGAGCGGGACAAATTTTAGGGTGCTTTTAAATGACATTTAAGCGTGTTAAACTGTCACTAATCGGACTAAACCGAACGCTAAAAGAGTCGTTTGGAGTTAAAAGTGTTAAAGGAGTTTAAGGAACGTGGCAAACCGAACGCAATGTATGTACCAAATCAAAGTACAAACTGTCAATGTCAATACTGTCATTCCATCTATTTTAATAAAATTAAGATTATTTTATTTGTGATTGTTTAAAAAATGTGTTTAATTGAGAACTGCAACTTTAATAAATTGGAAGGATGTGTGTTAATGTAATTATTGTTCAAGAAAAACTTTTAAGGCAAGGTAAATAAATAAAATATTTTAAGGTTATATTTTGTTTATTTACTTTATAATAAAGCAGTAATAAAGTTTTACGACTATAATTTGTTTTATATTTTGTTTCAGTATCTAGACCATCCAAAGACAATTTCAAAATGGTCTATTTTGTACACAATTGTAAATACTATGAAGTAAGAAGTAAACAAAAATCTGTAAATTTTTTCCCACAAAATCTGCTAAAAGGAAAAATTTAATTATTCTGATGAGGTAACTATTTGACATCATTATGGAAATGTACAATAAAAATTTGATTAAGATAAAGAGACAAATGGTTTTCACTTTAAAAGTCTAAATCAGAAGAATGGATCAGCCAATTAATTTAATATACTTGATGAGAAATTTTACCTAAGAAATGGTATGTACATTTAAATAGTTAACCTATATAAAGTTATGTTTACAATTATCAATTGTGTTACCCTCTAACCAAGGTCGTTTGTTACATACAAACTAGAAATATTTTATTTTAATATTTTTTTATTGCCTTGTTTGTATAATTTAGTATTTTCAAAAATATTAAATGTTATGGTAATTAGAATCACTACAGGTATTAAATAAAAATAAGGGTATTGGTAAAGTAGTTTACAGTTGGTACTAAAGAATGTCTCGAAATAAGTATCAAACATAAATTGTGATTTTGATTAGGCATTTAACAAGTCACATCCCACATCTACATGCTCTGGCTAATCAATCCTATAAGTACATATCAAAACATTAATATACTATCTATAATTAAACAATAATTTAAAAATACAGATGAAGCCGATTTACCTATTTAAACAAAATTGTTATTATTCTATTATTTATTAAAACACATTATTTTTTAGTAAACTTGGACATGCAAAAGCAGCCATGAGGGTAGGACATTAGTGAAAGCAAGAATACTTTGGAATGTTCTGTGAAATACACTTAGAAAGTGTCATATGGAGAATTGTGATAAAATTTTACGATATGCATCTCACTAGTTTAGTTCATAGATTTCTGTGTTCAATTATGTGCTGCTATTTCAAACTTTTAGTATCCTTTGATAAAAGAAGTTGAATATTATTGTTGACCTTTTTAAATTGTTTATTTTACCTCATACATTTTTTTTCTACTCTTCATACAGTATTCTGTGAAGAGTATTATAGGTTTATTTTGTCTGTCTGTCCGATGTCAGGTTTTTTGTCTACACGATAAGTCAAAAACGAGAAATGAAATCAACTTGAAAATTTT